CGACAAAGGAGGCAAGGGGGAGGCTGCAGAGGTTGCAGGGAAGGCGAAGACAGCAGGCCCGCCTCCTGCAGGTTCGCTTCCCAGGGCCAGTTGTCAAGAGAAGTTGGATGGTATGCCGTCTGGAGAGTCGGAGGTAGCGCCACTGGGGGCGTTCAGAGGCGGAGTAGCAGCAGTCCAATACAGTGGCGTAGAATCGCGTCCTGATGCTGTTGAGGGTATGGAACAGTCCAAAGGGGAAACTCTCAGGAGGCTGCCGACACGCACAGCAGGCGGCAAGACACTAACGGTTAAGGCAGCCCCCAAGCGAAGCTCCTCTTCGCAGAGTTTTATCCACTCCGTACAGAAGGCGGCTGCTCCGCCTTATGCTTCGTCCTATGCTACGCAAGAGGCGCGAGACAGGAGAGGCCTGCAGCATGCAGCAGCGGCCCCTGAACAACACCAGAAGTCTGAAAAACCGCAAGCTCAACCGCAAGCTGGCTCTTTATTCTCTCCTTCTGTTCCTCCCAATCTGGCTTCCGGTGGAGCAGCCTCTACACCTCATTCCAAAGTAGCAGCCTTGGACGCTCATGACTACATTCCTGCTCCAACAAGCTTTCAGGCTGAGATGACAGAATTTGGAAGTAAGCAGCCTAAGAGCGTCCCCATCCCGGCAGCTCGGAAGACAGCTCCCCCTATGGCAAAAGCGGAAGCATTCCCAAGCACTTGTGCTCCTACATTGCAAGGCCCTTCATGCGCTCCATCTGTCTTAAGATCTGAGCGTTTAAGCGCTCCAGCGCCACATTCGTCAATCGATCCTTCCTTTAGTTCCCCATCAGCAACGCCGGCTGAAGCAGGAAAACAGGGTCAATTCCCAGTGCATGATCCAGTGCTACCCACTGCAAAGGATATCACGGTAAGCATTTCTGATTCCTGATCAATGCACAGTTAAGTGGAGGAGAGCAGTGCAAATTTGATGTTTTATCCTTAGTGGCGGTGTGTACTATGTGTGTGCATTTCGACTTGCGTGTTGCCTGCCTCAGGAAGCAATTCGACTTCAAGCCATGTGGCGCGNTATGTGTGTGCATTTCGACTTGCGTGTTGCCTGCCTCAGGAAGCAATTCGACTTCAAGCCATGTGGCGCGGCCACGAAGTGAGAACCTGGGTTCAGGCAGCATCTATTGTACGCTCTATGAAGTGGGACTTCACCGCTGGAACTACCAAAACTACCAACAGGGCCAACGCAAAGCCTTCTCATTCAGGTGGCTTGAATAGTGTCCCTTCAGGGTTGAGCCAATCAAATGCCAAACAGGGTGGAGCTCCCGTCGACTCTCGTACAGTATCTCAACTGCCTGGGAGCGTTTCTCGTCGCCAGATAGGAACACTTCCAACAACTGCAGAGGAACGTCTCTTAGGTACGCCCGCTGCCGTGTAGGTTGTTGCTTGAGCTCATTGCTATTCTTGCAGTGTGATTAAGCAGTGTATCTTTCTCTGAGTGTGAATTCACAGGGAAACCAAACCATAAAAGAATCGGCGTTCAGGAAGCAAAACCTTCCAATGAAGTGCCTCTGCCGGCTTTGGAGTCGTTGACTATCGGACACATCAAGAAGCAACCAGCAGGGCAGGGGCAGCCAGGTGCTACTCGTGCCACCGATGAAAGCCGCCACCAAGCAAGTGCTAAAAGCGAGCAGGCAATGGCCGCTGCTCCATCTGAGGAAGGACCAAGAGGAAAGCAGCGTGTCGGGGAGCAACCGATGACTGAATCTCCCCAGCTTGGCGTACCACTAACTACGACGAAGGGTTCATGCGGCGCCTTCACCGGTCCGAATAAAGCGGATGTCGCTGACGCCCCTTTGTCTGTAGACAGTATTCCACCTATCGTACAGTGCCAAGATTTAGCGGATGCGACGTCACGAAACCCGACTATTCATGGGCCTCAAGGAACTCCTGAGGCCGAGCAACACCCGTTGCCCCATGGTACAGGGGAGCTGTACTCATCTNTGGGCCTCAAGGAACTCCTGAGGCCGAGCAACACCCGTTGCCCCATGGTACAGGGGAGCTGTACTCATCTTCCCATGCTCGCCAAAGCGCGCTTGCACAGGCTGAGTACAACGGAGATGGTAAGCAATCTTCAACTGAAACAGCTGCAGCTGACAACGGGGGTTTGTTTCAACACGACACCGCAAGAGGCAATCTGGAGGGGGAAAACAAGGAGGGCGACTCACCACAAGCTCCCAGATTGTCGCAAGGCTTAGCACAAGGGCGATCGCACCATGTAGAAGATACCGGAGGTTCCAATGCTGCAAGTGAACAGGAAGCTTCCTATGATATAACAGCGTCAAGGGAGCTACCCACCAGAACCCCGAAGACCGCCATCGTTAGCTTGGCTGAGCCTTGCGTTCAGCATCCTGAACCATTGGATTCATCGTCTCCCAAGAGAAATAAGAGACATGTTGCTCGTTCCGTAGCTCCATTTTTACCCTTCGTAGGGCGACCGACGAAGGCAGCGCAACACACGCAGGATCGAGAATCAGAGCATGCGGAAACGAACGCAGATAGTAATCAGCAGAGCATCGAACCCAAATCTAATGGGGCAGTCTCCGTTTTGGGAAGGCGCGTCTCCTTGGCGTTGCGCAATGCTTATTCCATCTNAAATCTAATGGGGCAGTCTCCGTTTTGGGAAGGCGCGTCTCCTTGGCGTTGCGCAATGCTTATTCCATCTTTGGTACTGTGGCACCAGCAGGAAGACAACAGACTGTTCAACGGCAAGGGGGAGATGGTGTATCGCATGCTGCGGTGGGATGGTTGAGGGGTCGCAGCTTGGCTGAGACAGCAGAAGTACAGAGGGAAACCGCAATTGAAAAACAAGAGGTTACCATGCAAAGCATCGCAGCTCTATCTGTGGAACAAGGCGACACTCCAATCATTCCGTTGTCACACCCTGTTAATTCATCTACCCCACCTGCTGTTCAGAGAATCCCTCCAGCGCCCCCAGTTGAAGACATTTCCATGGAAGAATCGGACCGCCAAACTTTGGCGTCTGAAACAAAGCGTTGGGGGAGGCGATTTACAACAGTTAATACTCACGAACCGCTTGCAGCTGGTAAGGGACCAGCACTTAATCCCTTCCGTCGGGGGCACCGAACGGAAGAGTTTGCGGAAACGCCACTGCAGCCGATACCAAGAAGAAAGTAGTTGTTGAAACACCGCTGTGAACGCATGAAGAGAACGGGAGATGCTATTTACAGCACCCCCTTTCTCCTCTTCTGCACTCTGCTGCGGGTTATTCGGTTCATGTTGGCGCACATAGGGGCTAANGCACCCCCTTTCTCCTCTTCTGCACTCTGCTGCGGGTTATTCGGTTCATGTTGGCGCACATAGGGGCTAACCCAGGAATGTTGGTAGTCCAGCTGTCGGCGGCTTTGCCGGTGGTGTGGTGACGTGATACCTATTTTCATTCATGTTAGCTCTAATAATGAGTTTCGAAGACCTCCTAATGCTTTTATAATGTAGTAGTTCATCTTGTTTACAATCATCTTCGGCCGTAGCTCATTTGATACTCAACATAAAACCGAGGAATATGTGGCTTTGCTGGACTTCCCTTGGGCTGACTTAACGCGATGCGACGGTAGACTCAGTGCCAGTTTTACAGGAAATGCATATTCAAGTGGTTTCTTTCTTTAGACTGTAACAACATTACTCGCAACGCAACGCGCATAACCGGCCGAATGGTGTACACGTAACTTTTGATTTACAGGTCTGACTCAACGAACTGTGCACGCCACAGCAGAACTCAAATACAGAAGTGGCCATAGCACCTAAAAACGCTGTCCACTAAGTAGGTCTGCACCACAGAAAATATCTTCCATTATTAAGGTTCCGTGCAGGCGATACTGCAAAAAGGGCGTAGTCCCAGTTCCCTCCGAATATGTGAATTTTAGCATCTCGACAGCGCACTGATTTAGAACCTGTCGACGTTTCTGGAGACCTACCATAGTGTTTAGCTTCTCAGAGGTACATGAAATCGTTCAACATCTCTAATCGGCTAAAGCATGTAAACCTGTCCGGCTGTCAGAACCTTCCTGCAGTTCAGCGGTACGACGAAGGAACGCCTACGAAAACAATGTATGGAAAGCGGTGACTTTACCGCTCTTCCAAGGAGGATAATCAGTATTGCCATGGGACGGAAACTCACTCGTGCAACTTATTTCCTCCCCCCCTCCTCGGGGAAGTGACCGAGAAAGGTGCTCAGCAGGGGACAGCCTTCCTCCGGAGTTCCCATTCCCTGGGGACAGCCGTTCCTTGGGGTAATCCTATACTGCTCAGTGCCCCCTCCAGACAGTCCCCCTCTCCACTCTACTGCAACGTTGCAAAAAAAACGTTCTTTTGCTGCGCTGTCTCGTATCTCGCTGCAATTGTGCCACATCGTGGCATCCTCCCCTGTGCACTTCACTTGAGATTCAAGATGAATGGGTAGCAGTAGAAGCTGCGCTAGAGAACCTTATCTCCGATGTTCACGCTCGGCAATTGTGACTGCATGCCGACCACTCCGACTCGAGTTGCACCTGCGAGTAGTCCCGTAGTAGACGCAGGGACTTGTGATTGTCCTCATAGGCAGCTTTACCAGCAGCATGACAGCCCCTATAGCCTAACAAATGAGTGCTAAGAGAAGCAGAAGGCACTAGAGGAACGTGCAACCTACTCAACATTATTCAGGAGGCATCCGGCGACAAGTACCACCTCCGTCGCCCCTAAAGCACCAAACTTCGCTGCTAAGCACTCAAAATACTCATTAGCAACATCTCCTAGCCAATGTTAACTAGAGAATCCCTGGGAAAATGCACTGCCAAACAGCCGCGGCAACGCTCCCTCCCAAGCGCCCCCATACAACCCAAGGGAAGGGGAATTGTCGAAAGCTCGTNCAGCCGCGGCAACGCTCCCTCCCAAGCGCCCCCATACAACCCAAGGGAAGGGGAATTGTCGAAAGCTCGTTGCAAACGGCACAACGCAGATGATAATGTAGCAATCACCCCATGCTGGAACCGTGTTTTGTGATCTGTAACCATTCCGCCATAATGCCTGCAGAGCGATGCTGCCGATGCTGCTATGTCGACGGGAGATGCAATGGACTACTGCGCGGCTTGCGGCTTGTAGTAAATATTATAACGTTTTCGTGATTTAATTTAAGGTGTAGAGTTACTAAATAGGCAAGCAATTCATAGTTAGCAGTGCTTTCCCCGGATTAAAGGCGCTTCTGTGGGACGTCCGCTCCCTTCCAATCAGTGGGTGAGAGCGATTGATCTGGCTGCTGCCCCAATCTCGTTTTCTGGCCCTGCTGAGACGTTGTTGCGTTGATTCGCCTGCTTCCTATCTTTTTGTTGAAATCATAACCATTTTTTGAGTCCTCAAAGGGGATTGATTGAGAGCTGCTGGGGTTTCGCCTCGTTCCAGTGGCGAGTACGCCCTGCGGTGACACCGGCTACTTGCCACTTCGACCCTCCCTTTGGGGCCGCAGCGTTATTTGAGGGTTTATGTCTTTTGCGGGTTTACCCGCCTATTTTTTACACGAATTCAGAGTTCTGTTGTGGAAGCGCACCACCTGGAGCAGCGTCGTCTCTCCTCATCAGCTGGACGGTGCGGGAGGGAGCAGTGGGAGTTCCTTGGCTTTTTGCTCCACTTCATCCAGCTCACGAATTTGGTATGACTTGCAAACTTGCAACAATGACGACTTCTAAGTTCTTGCGGCATGCAGCAGCGGCAGCTGCTGCTGTGGTTATACTGGGCACATTCCAAGGCCCGTCAGATCCCAGCAACCGACTAAGTTTTTGTGGTTTGAATGCGGGTTACATCTGGGCTGTTGAAGCTGGGGACTCTAACGGTCTCGACGGTGAGGACGGACCAAGTGATTTGACGGGAGGTGATGGAGAGGGGCCTGAGCCTGGTCGGTCGGAAAACGGCGATGAAAAGGACTCTTCCACAGGGCAAGTGAATGGGGAAGGCGAGCCAGTGGTG